CCCCGTCGATGTAATACGGTTACCTGCGAGATAAGTCTTCGTAAGACCTAATGAAAGGTCGTGCCTTGTCGTATGGCACGTACCCCCATGAGTTAGGGTAATGAATCCCCTTTCCTTGGCTAATAAAAAATGTGTACACGTGGGTATTATTATGTTGTGATGTGATTAGGAGACGTGACAGAATAATTGTTTTATGATCATGCTCTAACCATACCTTCTCTTCATTATTATTGTGTTGTGATATATGTGCATAGTGGTGAGCACGTTTTTCATCTTGTGCTCATCCCCACCTGCTCTTTACCGATGCAGGTTAAGCAGGAGCTGGGTGACGAGAAGGGGCGAGTGGGTCGGTCATTTTAGTTTGCATTTATTGCTTCCGTCTGAATAAATAAGGATTTATGGACCTTTATGTTGAGACTTGTTTAAAACCATTTTCCAAAAACTTATGACTTGTTTGTTCTTTTTGGAAAACTTATGGAACCCCGATGTTGGGAATTATGGTTTGGTTATATATTCATGTTGAGAAGTATGTCTCGTGATGTGTTTTGGTTAATGAGAACCATTTGTGAAAACCGGGTAATGAATCCTCGTGGGCCCAGATAAGGCTTGGGTTATGAAAATGCTGTTTAACACCAATTGAATTTCAAAATTGATCTCGAAAATTTTATACTGATTTTTGGAAAGTCCGGAATTTCTGTAAAATCAAAGTGGGGTGTTACAGTTTGGTATCAGAGCCAGTCTGCGTTTCTGTAGACTGGTTTATATGTGATTATGTGTTTAGACCTTGTAATATGACCACTCGTCTCCGTCACTCCGCGCTGCTTAAGGTATGTTTTGTTTAAGTATTAATGAAAATACTTGATATGTAAATGGTACACTTGTGGCAATGAAACTACTTGTGATGTTTTACATGAGTAGCAATGAAACTACTTATGAGGTTTTGTATGAGTAGCAATGAGACTACTTATGAAGTGATATATATTTTGTTTTGGAGATTAGAAAATCTATCCACCTTAGGTTATGTGAACTCTAGTGTTTGACATTGAACTCTAGTGGTATAGAGTTAAGTTCGAACTCTAGATGTTCCTAATTGTGAGTTACAGTATTATTATTGAGATAAGTGTTGTTTATAGCATTTTCTCGCTATAAGATTCGTTCAGTGTCCTTAGAGTAGGACTATTTGTCACCCATCTCGAAAGAGAAAGGTTAAGTACCGAGCGAACCTCTAGTGTATGAGATCACTCGGGGAATTAGAACCTCAGTCGTCGAGGACCGGGAGTGTCATTAGATGCCGCGAATTGGTTACTAATCGACCCCCATAGTTCAGGAGAATTTAATGCGTATCACCGTCGTAACTCTTGAGAGTGGCTAAGCCTCGAGAGGAACGATGGTTGATAATTCTCGTATGAGCGTAAGTCCTAAAGACTGATGCATGGATGAAAGACGACGACGTCGTCCATAAGACGAGTGGATTGCTCCGACATCGCGTGAATATCCTGTGCGTTGGCTGCGAGGCACGCAGTTGCAAAAGGTATGAATTTGTAGTTAAGCCTGATGTTATGGCTCTATATGATTCGAGATGTTAAAATTGATGTTATGAAAAGCATGCTTATATGATCGAACTTGACGATTATTGCGCGACTGGGATTATTTAAAACATGTTATGTGGTGATTGTATGAGTTTATGTGAATTTGTGTTAAAAAAAAAAATCAAGTTAGGGTTGACTCTCTTATATTGTATATGCACGTACATGAGGTGTATATTGTGATTACATGTGACCTCTGATGCTATGTACATGAAATTATGTTTTTTTTGCTGAAAATCGTATGAGAACTTCTCGTTATAGCCTCTGTTTGTGCTCAGATTATCGTGGCCTAAAAGTTGTTTTCTGGTTAAGCGGTCTTCATAAATTTTGTAGTTCTTTGAGTTAGGTTTTTGTGAATTTTTAAATTTCATGATTCGTAGTTGAATTGAATTTATTATGAATTGAATTTATTATGAATTTTTGAAGTTGTAATGGCGAGCAGTTTTTGAAATTCCAGGTAGAATTGTGAATCATGATGTTGGGCTGTTTTTGACAATGTTAATGTGACTATGTGAAAATATGATCAACATGAAACTTGTAATACATGTATATGCTTTCTCTGGAAGTTGAAATCTTGCAATTTGATGTTTTAGTTGATTTTATATGATTTTTCAAAGTTGGAGTTATGCCAGAATTTTTGAAACAGTGGCTGTGATTACGATTGAAATGTATGCTCTGAAATGAGGCCCTTAACATAATTATTTGTAAAGATGCCCTTCTTGGAACTTGTAGCAATTCAAGTGTAGTTTCTATAGGTTTTGAGTTTGCATGATTCGGAGTTTTGTGGCATGAGATATTCCTGAATTAGTGACCTGCTATAATTTATAAATAATTTGTTTGGCAGATTTCTTGACCTAAGTGTTTTATGCTTAACTGGTTTTAAAGTTATTTTTGGATTAGGTGATCAACATGAAAGTTGTAGATAATTGAGTTAGCTATCTTAGAAATTTTGAATTTCAGTAATGTAATGTTAGTAGCTTTGGTTATTGTGCATACACTGAGAACCTGTCAAGTTGTATGTCTTCATTTATCTACTGCTCCTATGTTTTGTATGTTTGCTATATTATGTGCATTTCAATGATTTTATCTGCCTGAGTGTTCTTCATGAAAGTGATGGAGGCATAAGTTAGGGATATTTTCAAGTGGTTTCATCATGATACGATATCTAGACTGAAAGCTACATGCATTATAAATTTATCACGCATGCTGGAAGTTGGGGCAAGTTCATGTTTAGGTTTTCAAATTGAGTTGTGAATTTCAGAATTGGCTTTTCGTTAATTTTCATTTATACGTGCCTTATGTGACTTAATCTGATTAGTATTATAATTTTAGCTGGAAACACTTGCGAGAGAAGCTTTACGCTAGACCTCGAAGTGTGAAAGCTATGGGCTGTGCATGGGGATAAACTCGTTTAGGACTACTGGCACGATTAGCTGCCGGAGTAAAAGCTGTCATGACTGCCGACATTGTTGGTCGGAAGAGTCAAACGAGATAACCATTCTGTTGTTCGACGTTGACCATCGAGTTAGGATTGTTCCTGGCGGTGACGCCAATGCTCGATCCCTTTTTGGAAAAATTGTTCTTGTCAACCCAAACCTTTGTGATTTTGAGTCTTGGGAGAAACCATTTTTTTTCCATTTGAGTACCTAGGAATGTGAAACCCGAAAATTGAAATTTCTAGTATGTGCCTCGAACCTAGCGCCGAACCTGACTGAGTGTAGCCACGCGAAGTGGTGGCCGAGCCCGCACGCCCGTGCTGAGAGACGTGAGGCCAACTGCAGTGGCCGACCGTTCACTCGCACGAGAGTTGCCGCCGCCATCACCGAACGCCACTCCCCAGGTCAGTGTGTACGGCCAAACCTTGACCTTGTAGCTGGTATCCGAGTGGGTACATGCACGCGTCCCAGTGCACTGCATATGCAGCGCCAGCGTGTGTGTCACCTCTCGGGTGACAGAGCATTAAACCCAGTCCGACCTTGTCCTTTTAGGGGTCTTTGAACCAGATTTTGGTCAAAGTGTATGTTGATATTTCGAGTCGTTGTGTCAATGCCCTAATCAACAATCCCCGGTGTATGAGGTTTGTCGATTAGTTTCCCATGCCACATGCGAGATTTTATCGAGATGGCGAGATAGTAGTTTTCCGTAGTAATGTGGGAGCGGAGCCTTGAGTCTCGACTGGAGACCGACTCCGTGAGAGGAAAACGTTATCGAGTATCTTGTCTTTACTCCTGAAGCCGCACATGAGGTGATACTCGTGTCGGCAATGGGTGAGGCCTTGTCATCGGTATCAAACAGAATCATGTGTTCTGAATGTACCAGGTCCGAGTATAAGTGATGTTTGTCTGTCCTATCATGATTTCTCGACCAAGTCAGTAGTTTAGCCTGATGGTTGACTCCACCACCGGGACTTGCGAGGATGCATGACAGGTTCTAGCATGATGGAGGGAATGTGTGCGTGATCTCGAGGTATGTGTGAATTGTGACGAGCTGCATGATAGGTAGAACCCTACCTGTATGGAGGTACCGGTGTCCTATTGGGACCAAGGGTCCATCAGGAAAAACTGGGAGGGGTACTCGTCAAAGTCCAGTGATTGTAGTCAAGTCGAGGGCGAGACGTCTTGGCAGAGGGAGGCCGAGGTTTGGAGGGAGTACCCAACCCTCATATTTTGATGCTTCCTTTTGGTACTCTGTTCCCTTCTAGTTGTTCGTTTTCGAATTCCGAGGACGGAATTCATTGTAAGGTGGGTAGACTGTAACGCCCCGTTAATTGGAGAATTATTTAGAACTATTTGTTATAATTATTGTTGCTATATTATTATTATTATTATTATTATTATTATTATTATTATTATTATTATTATTATTATTATTATTATTATTGTTGTTGTTGTTGTTGTTTGCCCAAATACTTTTAAATTGTTTACTTGCCTAATTGCTTATTATTATTAATTAAATAAATATTATTGTGTGGTTATGTGTATATATACATATTAAAATATATTATGTGTGTCCGACTGTTTTGTTTTTATATATCGATCCCCGTTCGAATATGTGATTTAACCGTGTAAATCCGTTTTTGAGCCTTTTATTAATTGTTGAACCTTGAGAGATTATTTTTGACCCAATTTTTTCTTCTTATTTTCGGCCCAATATCAAGCATTTCGTCCGGCCCAATTGTACTTGCAATAGTAGCCCAAATATATTGGTCCAAGCCTTAATAGCAATATAATTAGACCCTAATCCCTCAGCCGCCAATACTTTTTCTCTTTGCTCGATCAAACCCGTCACTCTCGTTCGCTGTCGTGCAGAGGAAAGAATAGAGAAATCATCTTATCAAAATCTGATCCCATCTCGTTCATCACCATCGTCGATCATCATCCCCATCAAGTCACCACCGTGATCAACAACTTCTAGCTCACGTTCAACCCTCACCTTTCACGAGCCCTGCGAGCAGAATTATTTCGACGTTTAGCGAACAGCCCCGACCTACTGCCGGCGTTCGTCATCAATCGATCATCATCTATCATCACCATCTTCAGCGCTCATCGCCGGCAACCCGCAGCACCGCCTCCGCGATCATCACTGTCGTCAGGCCCTCTCGCTGCACGTCACCATCATCATTACCGAGAGACAGTCAAGAAGATGCAGCAGGTCCACTGCGGCGCCACCATCACCCTCCGTGGGGTCCCGTCGAGTCCCGTCGGAGTGTCGGGCGTAGCCGTTGAGTCCCGTCGTGTTCCGTCGGAGTGCCGAACAAAGCCGGTGAGTTCCGGCGTATAATTTTCTTTCCACCGACAAGAATCCCTTCCCCATCGCAGCACCTCGTGAAACCAGTCGCCGGAGAGCCCTACTCTTCCGCGACGAGCTGCTGCAGCGCCTCCCCGCCGCGACTAGAGCCCCTTCACGCCGTGAAGTCTCTGCCACGACTTGCTGGCCACCGTCCAAAGCTTGTTGTCCGCATGAGGTCGCTATCGTCTTCTAGTTCTTGAACGCGAGCCCTCTCGTGAAGTCTCTGTTCATGTATCTTTATCCCCGCACAAGTCCGTACTCGTGCAGTCTCGTGCCATCGTTCATCGCAGGCCATTGTTGGTTCCCGTGATCACGAGCCCTGCTTCCGCCGAGAGCCCACGTAAGTCAGCAGCCACTCGAACCCCACGCGAGTCACGCCTTTGCTGCCGAGCGCGCATAGCAAGCTCGTTAGACCCTTACGTGGTTCGTTTTTTCGTAACCACGTCCCGAGAGCGGTATCCGGGCTAACCCTCAACTTATTTATCTCGCTCTTGTGTGTTTAAGTGCTCTTATATGTGTTGTTACTACTGAAAATGCGTCATTCGAGTTAATTACATGCCTTAGATATGTGTTTGTATGAATTATGATAATTTATATACGTTTTGGATATCAAATTGATTGTCGTCACTTTGGTCGTTATCGAACTGCGTTTCGAGTGGTATTTTTCGTGGAAATCCTGGAGTTATTGTCACTTGGAGTTGTTTTTGATTTATTGATTTTGGTTTGAGGTCGTTTCGATATGTATATCATGAGTTATGAATTTTCTAAACCGAGCATGCTTCTGAATTGTAATTAATTCATTATAAATCGTGATTGCCAGAATGCCGTGAAACTTTATATGTGATTTTCTACGATACTTTTGTAAGTCTTGTAAAATTTCCAAGTCTAAAATCCATCTGTAGCTATTTTAATTAATTAAATCGGTTTCTGGTTAGAATTGTATGAAATTAATTAAAAATCGTACGGTTGGAGTTTTGAGCTGAAACTTTGAGGAGTATGTTATTTTGTGTTATTTTGTGTTGTGTCAAAATTTTAGATTCAAATTCAAAGTGTAGCAATATGAAATGTTAACGTCAGATTTTTACACTATTTTTGTTTTAGTTATTTAAAAATGCTCCCAGATGAATATAGGGCATAAACTTGGTGAAGTTATGTGTTTTTGTATGCTCTCTTATGTGGTAAAGTATCAGGTGGATTGGTTTAGTCTAACTCCGGATTCTGAATTTGGTTTATTTTGGAGTCTTAATTCTCGGTTATCCATTGTCTAGGTTTGGGTTGGATTTTATTGATGTTGGCATGATTTATGTGTATTACCTGAGGTATATGAGTTATGTTAAGGTCTAGTAGTCACTCCATTGTACTTAACTCAGTCAAGGAATCCACGAGTCACTTAGTCGATATGATTTCGGCTAAGTATATATGCTTTGTGTGTTGCTTGTATTGGATAGCCAGTTGATAGGCTATTATAACTGTTGTAGGTTCATCGAGCTAAACTTATGCCATTATTCCTTCAACCCTGTGTTTGGCTATATCTCGGTATCTAGGCGGGTTTTAATCTAAAATTTGCTATGCCATTGTTTATTATAATGTTGAATTGGTATGATTTTAGTATGTACGTAAATCATGTAGCCTATCGGCGTGAGTCGATTCGGCCATCGGTACGGTTGTCCCCATCGATGTAACACGGTTACCTGCGAGGTAAGTCTCCGTAAGACCAAATGAAAGGTCGTGCCTTGTTGTATGGCACGTACCCCCATGAGTTAGGGTAATGAATCCCCTTTCCTTGGCTAATGAAAGATGTGTACACGTGGGTATTATTATGTTGTGATGTGATTAGAAGACGTGACAGAATAATTGTTTTATGCTCATACTCTAACCATACCTTCTCTTCATTATTATTGTGTTGTGATATATGTCCATAGTGGTGAGCACGGTTTTCATCTTGTGCTCATCCCCACCTACTCTTTACCGATGCAGGTTAAGAAGGAGCTGGGTGACGAGAAGGGGCGAGTGGGTCGGTCATTTTAGTTTGCATTTATTGCTTCCGTCTGAATAAATAAGGATTTATGGACCTTTTGTTGGAACCCACGAGGATCTCGATATGCACAAATCACGGACGAACATTCAACAT